TGTGTATAGCATGTAACAGGCTATACAGGCCTGAGTATTTATACCCAATAAAGGGTTTCCAAAAATTACTCAAAATGAGAGGGTTATTGCGGTTTCATGAGGATATGGCTATGTCACAGCACAACACCTGGATAGGATAGCGTATATACAGTCATGGCCGAAATTGTTGGCACCCTTGATATTTTTCCTGAAAATCAAGTATTTCACACAAAAAAGGTATTGCATTAACACATGTTTTGCTATACACATGTTTATTCCCTTTGTATGTATTGGAACAAATATAAAACAGAGGCAGAAAAGCAAATATGACATAATGTCACACAAAACCCCAAAAATGGGCTGGACAAAAGTATTGGCACCCTTAACTTAATATTTGGTTGCACACCCTTTGGAAAACATAACTGAAATCAGTCGCTTCCTATAACCATCAATAAGCTTCTGACACCTCTCACCCGGAATTTTGGACCACTCTTCCTTTGCAAACAGCTCCAGGTCTCTCTTATTGGAAGGACACCTTTTCCCAACAGCAATTTTAAGATCTCTCCACAGGTGTTCAATGGGATTTAGATCTGGGTCTCATTGCTAGCTACTTCAGAACTCTCCAGCGCTTCTTTGCCATCCATTTCTGAGTGCTTTTTGACGTATGTTTGGGGTCATTGTCCTGCTGGAAGACCCAGGATCTTGGACGCAAACCCAGCTTTCTGACACTGGGCCCTACAGTGCGACCCAAAATCCTTTGGTAATCCTCAGATTTCATGATGCCTTGCACACAGTCAAGGCACCCAGTGCCAGAGGCAGCAAAACAACCCCAAAACATCATTGAACCTCCACCATATTTTCCACCGTAGGTACTGTGTTTTGTTCTTTGTAGGCCTCATTCAGTTTTCGGTAAACAGTAGAATGATGTGCTTTACCGAAAAGCTCTATCTTGGTCTCATCTGTCCACAAGACGTTTTCCCAGAAGGCTTTTGGCTTACTCAAGTACATTTTGGCAAACTGTAGTCTTGCTTTTTTATGTCTCTGTGTCAGCAGTGGGGTCCTCCTGGGTCTCCTGCCATAGCGTTTCATTTCATTTAAATGTCGACGGATAGTTCGCGCTGACACTGATGCTCCCTGAGCCTGCAGGACAGCTTGAATGTCTTTGGAACATGTTTGGGGCTGCTTATCCACCATCCGGACTATTCTGCGTTGCAATCTTTCATCAATTTTCCTCATCCGTCCACGACCAGGGAGATTAGCTACAGTGCCATGGGTTGCAAACTTCTTGATAATGTTGCGCACTGTGGACAAAGGCAAATCTAGTTCTCTGGAGATGGACTTGTAACCTTGAGATTGTTGATATTTTGCCACAATTTTGGTTCTCAGGTCCTCAGACAGTTCTCGTCTCCTCTTTCTGTTGTCCATGCTTAGTGTGGCACAGACAGACACAATGCAAAGGTTAAGTGAACGTCTCTCCTTTTTATCTGCTTTCAGGTGTGATTTCTATATTGCCCACACCTGTTACTTGCCCCAGGTGAGTTTACAGGAGCATCACATGCTTGTAACATTCTTATTTATCCGCAGTTGTGAAAGGGTGCCAATACTTTTGTCCAGCCCATTTTTGGAGGTTTGTGTGACATTATGTCGAATTTGCTTTCTTTCCTCCCTTTTTTTGTTTTGTCCCAATACACACAAAGGGAAAGGTAAACATGTGTATAGCAAAACATGTGTTAATGCAATAGTTTCGTGAGAAATACATGATTTTCAGGAAAAATATCAAGGGTGCCAACAATTTCGGCCATGACTGTATATATACTATGTACTTCTGTGTTCCAGCTTTTTCATACCAGGAGATACCTGACATATATTGGGAACACATTTGCTGAATACATGGTTCATTTGAATACAAGACGAAAACCTATGGAAACCCAGGATAACTATATCACCACTATATAACTCTGCCTTATGGTACTCTATTTGCTAAGATGACCCGAAACTGAAGACGCCTAGTGCTTTTTAACATGATTTTATTTACTTTTTTCATATGTACAACGTGCTCATGTTTAACCTCCTTATGATCTATGTGATCAAATAAAGTATTGTTTGGAATATTTTTGAATTCATATTACTCCGCGTGGATCACCTAGTAACCTTCTTTTTCCAGATAGGGGTGTTCTTGTCACACTACCATTTTGCTTAGTATGTACCTTTTGGGTTTATGGATCCACACTTATACAAGTGAGTCGGAGATAAGTCAATGACACCAGCTATACGTGTCATTCTGGGTGGCCAGTTTGTGTTTTATTGTTGTTCTAAAGAAAAACAGACCTGTTCTGTTGCTCAGTGGTCAAGGTCCTCTTTTCTGATGAGCGCAACTTTTGCATCTCATTTGGAAACCAAGTACCCAGAGTATGGAGGAAGAATGGAGAGGCACACACTGCAAGATGCTTGAAGTCCAGTGTGAAGTTTCCACAGTCTGTGTTGATTTGGGGAGCCATGTCATCTGCTGGTGTTCGTCCACTGTACATCATTAAGTCCAGGGTCAACGCAGCCGTCTACCAGGAGATTTTGGAGCACTTCATGCTTCCTTCCGCAGATGAGCTTCATGGGGATGCTGACTTCATTTTCCAGCAGGACTTGGCACCTGCCCACACTGCCAAAAGCACCAAAACCTGGTTCAATGACCGTGGGATTATTGTGCTTGATTGGCCAGCAAACTCACCTGACCTGAACCCCATAGAGAATCTATGGGGCATTGCCAAGAGAAAGATGAGAGACATGAGACCGAACAATGCAGAAGAGCTGAAGGCCGCTATTGAAGCATCCTGGTCTTCCATAACACCTCAGCAGTGCCACAGGCTGATAGCTTCCATGTCACGCCGCATTGAGGCAGTAATTGCTGCAAAAGGGGCCCAAACCAAGTACTGAGTACATATGCATGCTTATACTTTTCAGAGGTCCGATATTGTTCTATGTACAATCCTTGTTTTATTGATTGCATGTAATATTCTCATTTTCTGAGATTGTGGATTTGGGGTTTTCATGAGCTGTAAGCCATAATCATCACAATTATGACAAATCACGGCTTGAGCTATCTTGCTTTGTATGTAAAGAGTCTCATATATTAGTTTCACCTTTTAAGTTGCATTACTGAAATAAATGAACTTTTGCACGTTATTCTAATTTTTCGAGTTTCACCTGTAGATCGACTTCTGTACTATTATCCTGCCCATACATGGGATCGAAATTCAGCTGGTCCCTGCTGAACCAGCCACATTTCAATCCACGTATGACTGGCTTTATCTTTTAATCATTTTTTTTTTTTAATGGCAGAGCTGATATTAGGAGCAGCCCCTGCTGCCACGATCAGTGCTGTCAGTCCCAAATCAATCTCCTTCCTAGCGGTGCTGTTGGACAGGGCGAGGGTGGGACACATTCTGGTGTTTGCAGCTTTTAGGGTAGGCATTACTTTCTTGGCAGCGCCTAAGACTTTCTATATTGTCCAGCCACACTGCTTAGAAACAAAAAGGATGGATCTGAACAGGACCAAGCGCTATGTGTACTTGGCCCTCTAGGGCAGGGGTGGGCAACTGTGGCCCTACAGCTGTTGGTGAACTAAAAGTCCCATCATGCCTCCACCTTTGTGAGTCATGCTTGTAACTGTCAGTTTTACAATGCCTCATGGGACTTGTAGTTCTACAACAGCTAGAGGGCCACAGTTGCCCACCCCTGCTCTAGGGAGAAAAAAAAAACAAACAAAAAAAAAACACTTTAATGAAAGATCTTCCTTAAAGGCTGGGCTCATTTCTGTGAGTTCTGAGTGATGTTAATTCTAAGGAAGCAAGGCTTAATTAAGTTCTATCATTTGCTGCATGGCTACTCTGCAAAGGCAAGCATGAGACAGTTTGGAATTAAACCTTTATCTTGAAAAAAACAAAAAAAAAAAAAAAACCTGATCTAGCATTGCCGTAGCAATTGGAACAAATACCCACAAGGCTATCCTTGTCAGAATAAAAAATCTAAATATTCCTATGTGGCCATTAAAAACCATTTGTAACTTCCAGCCAATTGGCACAGAAGATCTCCGTGTTGCTTATTAAGGTTTACATACACTCTAATGGCCAATTCGAGCAAAAAAGGGCTTTTATCAACTTAGGAAATCAGAGAGCGTTAGCTCTTGTGTCAGTTTTTTTGTGGTTTTTGTAGAAATTTACCATTGTGCCCTGTCGCTGGCAAAAAAAAAAAAAAAAAAAAAACATAAAAATTAATGCTACCTGTCCCCTTATCACATCATGAAAATATCACCATTATAGGAAATGAGGATAAGAAAATAGGGGACATTTTTACTAAACTGAGACAAACAACAGAAACCTTCCAACACTTGCACACTACAGATACACAGAGTAAAATAGGCTTGTTGTGGTGGTGGCTCAGAATAGCAGCTGCAACTTCATTTTATCCATTGACCTTCATTGTCAAATCGACACTCCGGGGTTTATTTACTAAAGCTGGAGAGTCCAAAATCAGACTCCCTTCTGCATAGAAACCAATCAGCTTCCAGGTTTCATTGCCAAAGCTTCATTGAACAAGCTGAGGTTAGAAGCTGATTGGTTTCTATGCAGAAGGGAGTCTGATTTTGGACTCTCCAGCTTTAGTAAATAAACCCCTCCATGTCAACACTCCTGTTTATACACGCATGTGTATGGGTGTATCTTTCAAATCTGCTAGGTATGACTACACACACGTGTAACTGTCGACACTCCTGTTTATACACGCATGCGTATGGGTGGATCTTTCAAATCTGCTAGGTACGACCAAACACACACACACACACGTGTTACTGTCGACACTCCTGTTTATACACGCATGCTTATATTTTTTAGACAACACCCATAGCAATAGGTACATTTTATTCTGTATGACTGGTATGCCCTAATATACAGCCATACAAGTGCTATTAAAAATACATTTTAAGAAAAATATAGCTTTAATAAGAAATGTTTACAACACATATTACATACCAAATTTTCCCATCATCAACCTAGAAGAGAAAAAAAAAAAAAAACAAAACAAACAAAAAAAAAAAAAAAACCATCAGTTCTCAGCCATCCAAAAGTAGCTTACCATTTATTAAAAAAAAATGCAGTCATTGTTACAATATAACTTTACAATGTATTAATGTGTGTAAAGGTTTAGTAAGTACTAACTACTTATTCAGGTTCAATACACCAGTACATTGCGATTAAACACAATAACTAGAAAAGCTACAATTTCTGGGGAAATTGTGTGAAGTGTTCTTGCTCACACTCTAGCTTTTGTCACTCTGCTGCCTGCTCACACACCTGGGTTCCTATGGCAACTCACTCTACAGCAAGGGCAGAGAAGAGCGGTTAAAAACAAAACTGCTCCAACTTGCTCACTTCACTTGGCGGTTGCCATTTTCAAGCGATTGTAGTTTAAAAATTATAAATCCTACACTGAAGAGCTTTATATTGTGAGAATCACAAGACCCAGACCTACAGTTTGATGCATAGTATGTCTCTGAAATATTAAAAATGAAGGCACAATCGCAGTTTAGAAATTGCCCTTCAAATTTGAGGTGGCTAGAGTGGAGTTTCAATGAATGTCAATGGGTGGCGTGAGGTGCAAACAAATGGTCATATTGTGAAAACAATCAGTACTATGGCTTATCCGTGGACAATTTTAGTGGCAGCAGGGATAGCTGAACATTTTGATATAAGATTTGTGTAGGTGGGCTTGAAAATAAGGGAGTGATGGCAGTTTAGAAATCATGTCCTGATTTTTCAGCTCACACTCTAGCTTTTGTCAGCCCCCACTCTAGTTTTGAACATTCTGCCATTCATTCCTATGGGACCAATTTCACCACAACGACGCTGATATTTCGCAAACCATTCGGCGAAACATTCCACAAAGTAATAGCACACCAATCGGGAACAATCCGCACGTTTCTGTATATTACTGTCTATGTAGTGTAAAAAATGTGGGAGGAATAAGGGTGGTAAATTTGGCTATAATAAGAATATATATGTGAGATAACAGTAAGTGGTCTTGCCATGGAAGAACACTTAACAATATATAACAGGGCTTCTCAATCTGGGTTCCAGAGGTTGCTAGGGGCTCCTTGAGCAATTTTTCCCACAGATACCAATGATCTTTTTAATGACAACAAGTCTAAAGAGCATTCTTCCCTCTGACCATTACAGTAAAGCCCCGCTCACACGGTGATATTGGATGAAGGATCATCCTTTTTTTTTTTTTATTTATTTATTTTTTTTTTTTGCATGCTAGTCTCCAGATCATGAAGAGTTTACTAATGTTACGAAAATTCTTGTACAACAGAATAAAAATTCTGAAGTTATATACCGTATTGTATTTTCAGATTAAAATTGTACCGATTAAACAAAACAAAAAAATTGCACGATCTGGTATCGTACAAGAAAAATTTTCATGCTTGTCCCTTTGAATAATTTCAGACGAAAACTGTGTACTAACGATCAGATTATTGTATGATCGCTTCGAAAGCGGTATTTTGCGTACAATTTCCTGATCGTGTGTACTAGGTTTTAAAATGTTACTAACCCAGGACCTTGCATTCATTCCATCTGGTCTCCCACAGTACAAACAACATGGAAGAAGTGGAATTATTTTAGTACATATAAACTGCTAAATACCTTTTCTCATCAGTAGTTAGAGCAGCCTTGTGACTTCTATCAGTGTCCAGCAGAGCACATGTTAAAGCATGTGGGAGTTTTCTTTCTGCTTTAAATGGATGCAGAATCCCTGACCTCTGTCTGGGCAGTGCTGACTGGCCCTGTGCTGATCACATGCATGCTCCCAATAAGAAAAAGAAAAAAAAAAAAACAAAAAACACACCTCTCTAGCAATACGCACTAAACTGAGCATATGCAGAGTGACTACGTGATATGTATTATCAGGAGATAAGAGCGGGACACTGGAAGAAGGGGAGGATCAGAGAAGTCAGGATAAAACAGTGTTTTTACACAGTGCAGAGGACTAACCTCTTAGGTTCCACAGTGAGTATAGCAAGTATGCATTACGGCATATACAGACTGATGGTACTGTTGTAGGTTTAGTAACACTTTAATGTAGTAATTTTTAGCAGAGGTTCCCTGAAACTGTAAAAAGTAAAAAAAAAAACAAAAAAAAAAAAACCACAATTTTAATTTTGCCATTTTCTTTTGTTCAGCCTGCAGGCAAGAAATCTAACAAATGCCTCCAAGCTAAACAATATGGATGGAGGAGTCTCTCCTGCCAGCTACTGTACAAATCGACTTTAGACAAGGTGGCTGGTCATGACAACAGTTCATGGCTTGGCTTTCATCTAATTTAGCAGGGAATGGCTGAAATTCAAGTTGTGTATGGTGGCCTTAAAGTGTATGTCCACTTTTGCCACCAAATTGGGATAAAACCTACGTTATCTGTTGCAAGTTTTTATTTACACAGCATAACCTAATATTTATAAACTGCTGCTTACCGTTTTAAATGCGCTTTTCTGATAACCCCAGCACTGAAAAATCCTACTTATATATCTTCGTTAATGATAGGGCTGGGGGAGCTAAATATATTGCCTCTCATTTATTTTTCAAACTGAATGGGTTGTTTTACAAGGTGAGGGTTTACATATCCTTCTAGGTACTTGAAGATCTCATTATCAGTTGTAAACTAGATTTGAACACTAACCCTTTTATTAGGGCACGGAGATATAGGAGCTGGCCTTCTCGCATTGTATGTTAATGAGAGGAAACTCAATCTGCTCTAAGCCTTTCCACTGGGATAAACAGACTGAAATTGAGTCGATTACAGTCGACCATGAGGACTTGTGAAAAATGTCTAAAAAAAAAAAAAAAAAAAAGGTTAAAAAATAAAATTTTTGTTATTCTGTGTAAATTGGAAAGAAAATCCCACGAGTTTGTATTCCTGAGTACAATGCCCTGTACTAGGCAAAGATTTATAACCATTCCCCCCTTTGCGAGCCAGAAGCCAACACTTTGCACAGCTACTGGCTTTCAATCCTGACACCTTAGTTTCTGACTGGCAATTGGAACGAATGGACTAGGACAGCTATGACTTATGCTGGCTATAGATGGATCAACTTTTTTGATCACCCAGCGGGCTGATAAAACAAAACAAACAAAAACAAAAAAAAAAAAAAAAAAAAACACAACACACAAAAACAAATGGATTCTCCCATCTACATGAGCGAGTTGGATGGGGAAATCCTCCCGCTGTGTCATTGTATTCTGACAGTGGGGAGTGCTCTGCTGTTAAAATACACTGTTCAGCGCTGCAGGAGTTGATTGAATGAAATTTTTCCAACAGTCCCGCTCGAGAGAAGCAGATTATTAGATTGACTTCTCTGGAGTGGGACCAGCCATAAATGGATCGAAATACGGCTGGTCCTTTCTAAATGGACGGTCTTTCAAATCATCAATGGCCAGCTTTAGCAATCACATGCTGGCTGGATACTTGGGAAAACAAGCACCTCAAGCCGGCAGATCATTACCGCCATCTCCAGCCGGCAAATCATTAATATTTTCAGCCTGCGATCATTACTGCCATCTCCAGCTGGCAGATCATTACCATTTTCAGCCTGCAGATTATTACTGCCATCTTCAGGCTGCAGATTATCAACACAATCTTCAGCCTGCAGGGACATCTGTGGGGTGATAGTTTTATACTGTATCTAGTTCGTCTTATAAATGCATTAGTCAATAAACAGAAGAAAGAGTCCCTTTTTTCAAATTTTTGCACATTTCTCAAAAAAAAAAAAAAAAACCTAATTCACTGATTTATAAATATGCGCCATAGTGCTTGTGATGCCAGCCACTTAGGGAAGATCCCATAAAAATCTTAATACATCAATATACAACAATAGGCTGAATATGGCACATGCCAGTGAGAGAACAATGTGGGCTGCCATTGCTGGTCTCCTGAAAATGCTAGTAGGGTGGCTGTCTGGCCTCCAAATAAGTCACAGATCCAGAACAAGCACATGGAAAGTTGCAGAAAATCAGATTTCCTTATTGCCATGGAGGTAACAGCATCCCTTAATATGACTCTCAAAACTGGTAAATTTTAAGCTCTCCAAAAAAAAAAAAAAAAAAAAAAAAAAAAAAAAAAAAAAAAAAAAAACCAAGCAGCTCAGCCCTCCAAACGGTCAATTAACCTCTCGGCATGTTCTGCAATAATATCAGCCATTTTATGATTCCACTCAAAATAGCTGAACATTGATTCTTTACACCTGATTGATGACCATCTTCCAGAGGCTATTACATTTCTGATCAACTACCAAAATTAAAATTGGAACCTAGAGATTAAATATAGACCCCTCAGCCGGATGAGATGTGACCTGTCAGTGGCCGCACGGATTTGTGTCCTGGAGTCTGGAGTAAGGACTGGCCCCTATTCTGAGAGGTTCCAGCTGGGGCCTCACCTCACACCGGATGAGACACCAGCAGCAATTGGCAACCTGCAGATCTCATAACTAGTTCACACCAGAAGATCAAATCCTCATTATTACAGAGCCGCGGCTGGCTGGAGATTAGTTAAAAAGCAATTATATTTTAGTCATGTCTCAATGGCTCCACTGGCTCATCAGGCGTTCATTTTCAGCCTGTCAGTCACAGCAAAGCTCACATTATTTATTGTGTGACAAACAATGCAGAGAAGAGCTGGAGATAGAAAATTAAATCATGATTACATTGTGGTGGTCACCTATCTTGATATAGGGGACCTCAAGTGCGGACCTTGACATTACCAATAGGACCGCATATAATATTCAGTGAACCCAATACTGACGAAAGCTGTTAGAGACTGCACAAAACACACACACTACAGGAGATGGCCAGAGACTGCAGACAGTACGGGAGATGGACCAGAGACTGCGGACACACTACGGGAGATGGCCAGAGACTGCGGACACACTACGGGAGATGGCCAGAGACTGCGGACACACTACGGGAGATGGCCAGAGACTGCGGACACACTACGGGAGATGGC